TAACCTCCATCTTCCCTTCCAGCTCTTATGGAAAGAGAATGACAATTCTGGGGACTGTTAGTGTGATCTGTGTCTAGTTTTAGACAGCCTTCTCTGATCTGATTTTTTTTTTTTCTGGAAGGTTCCATAATTTTTCTGCCATGCTGGCCAATACATCTGGAGGGCATAAGGCTACAATAGTTTACTCTTATGCTGCTTCCAGATTCCATCTCAAACACAAAGCCGAACTACATAATTATAAATCTTCAGCGATGCAAACAAAAATGGGCACAGGAAAAAATCTTGAAATATTGAACAGCTACAAAGTATAGCAAAAGGATGCTTTGGCATCACGACTGCTAAGCTGAATTACACTAGTGGTGAAATTGGGTCTGAATTTCAGAGAACCCCAATGTCTTGTTGCAGAATCTTAAAAACTCGCAACATCTCAAATCCACAAAACGACGGTATGAAATAAACTTCATCCTATATTTATAGAAATAACCATGCCCTCAAATAAATGCAAATGTTGCCAACAAACTCTAAATAATCTTTGCAAAATAGTAGTTGAAGAAATCAGTCAGTCCAGGCAAGTCCAGAAAATGGCTATAGGGTTCAAACAAACTCACACTACGACTTGGAATAACCTACTGAAGACCACCTATAAGAAAGTGTGGCATTTTGTCTTCAAATATATATAATTGACAGATATTGTTGTAAGAGCAAAATGAAAGACCAGGAGAAGAAGAATTAAAGAAAAGTTACAATGAATTATTTAATTCAGACAGAACTCCCTTTAAGAATTATGGTGTTCAAAGACTGGAGGCAGATCTGACTAAAAGCCACAATATTTTTTTTAGTATAGATCAGTTGCCATTTCCATTTCTAAATAGAATATATTTTTAAGCATACCGTACATAAAAATAGAATCACCGCAGAGTATCCAATCTCCGGTAGCACCTTGTAAATCAATGTTTACTCAGTTAAAACTGGGGACCTGAACTTAAATTAAGAATCAGCAAGCATTAACAATTAACATGAAGATGTATGCTGCCAGAATAAAAAGGAAGAGACTTCAAGTGCCATATTGAAGTAATTTCCTATAAGTTGTCAACTACTTCCAAAAACTCCAAATGTACCAACCCCTGCAATTGCAGCACTCCATGCTATTAAACCTAGCAGTAAGACAGACTGTTTTTTTCCTCAGCAAATATATTCAAAGTATATGCCTCAGGATCTTTCAATTTAGGTTATATATTGTTTTCTCTCTACTCTGTTCATCCTTCTCTGAAGTAACAATTATAATTGTCTCTAGAGAAAAACACTGCTCTTTACAATGCTGCCAGTGTGCTTCATAACTCTTGCAACAGTACTTTATAGAAAATATCCTGAGGGATTGTTATCATGGCTAATAGCTATATAAATCAAGTTTGAAAACCTGAACAGTACGAGTTCAAATATTAACTGATGGATGTAAAGGGGTGGGAGTGGGTGGATGGAGAGGACCCTTGGCTGACACCCTGTTCTCAGCTTCTCAGGTACAGGCATTAGACTTGAATTCCCTGATTTTCTTCCAAGGAAGTGTCTGTCTGTCTGTCTGTCTGTCTGTCTGTCCTCAAACAAGCCCCTGGGAAATGAGGCTAAAAAAGTCATTGTCTGAAGTTCATCCAATGAAATGCCACCCAAGTAGCATTTAGTTTCTCAAGCACACAAACTCCCTATATATACACAATGAACCATTAAGTCAACGCTAATCAGGTGACTTCAAGACCGTCAAGAAAACCACCAAGTACTGTATCCAATAACTTGGAAAGGTGAAAGAAAAAAATCTTAAAACTAGATCCCCATGCACGTGCCTATGTAAGGGCTTGGATTTCTGTGTACTGCAGGGAAGAAATCTCTATTTGTAGCTTCATTCATCTTTGCAATAATGATTTATTCTTGCAGAGTCATATCCATAAACCTTTGCTAAATAAGTCAATTCCTGAATGAAGAATCTTTAGAAACTATTTAAAGCTGGACAAGAAAGGGATAGGATTTTTTACAAATCACCAAGGAAATGAATATTATGGTTTTCATTATTTCATTTGTAGGCTACTTTTCACTACAGAAGATCAGCAGCCTACAAATAACATAGCCTACAAACAAAAGAACAGTTCCTCTAAAGACAGGAAGCTCTTTGGATGAACTTCAGGCAATGACTTTTTTTAGCTTCACTTCCCTGGGGCCTTTGCTTTTCAGGGAAAAAAAAGATTACACACAGTGTGCTTTCTTGGAGAAAAGTTGGAGAATTCAAGCACAAAATGAACCAGTAACATATTCATAAATAATACTGCACATATACAGTTCAACATTTATAGGAACCTGTCATGGGCATGGAGTAGATATAAGTGATAGGAAAATTAAAATACAGAAACATGCACACTTCAATTCCCATTTGCTTCAGAAAAGTATGGATTTCATGTGGAAATATTACTGTTTAATCTACCATAAATATGCCTTAATTTTTATTTAAATTTGTGGTCTGTTTGCCACCAACATATCCACTGCATCATATAAGCAATGGCATCAAACAATATATGAGACAATAAACCTGTTATTCCTAATTGATGGAAAATTATGATTCCTGAGCCAAATGGTAATCATTGTAAGTATATATATTATGACATGCCTTACCTGTGGGATTGGCAGCATATAAATTTAATAAACATATAAAGGTACTTTAAACAGATTCACCTTAGCATTTTTACTGATTCTATTCATGTACCACCAGAATCATAAATACACCTTGCATATTAAGGCAGCTGTTCATGATTCCAATATATTAGTCTACATCCATTAGCTAAGATTTTTTAACTAGAAAGATTAGGGAGAAATCATTCCAAAAACATATTTTATGACTTAAGTGATGCAAAATAATGAAAACAATAAAGAATTCTGGATTTTGATCATGATGGAAGAATGGGACAGTAGAGAAGATACAAGAGATATCCTGTAATAAACGTTTAGATTATTATTACTACTTGTTTCATTTCTAAGACTCAAAGCAAAGTGTCAACTTTTCATCTCACTCCGCACTCTATGAAACCATCAAAACTGAGTATGAATCAGCAATATTGTTTTACTTTGTAGCTATGTAAAATATTCTCTAATCATTTTTAGAAGCATGACATTAATAAAAATGTTCATTTTCAAAGAGTGATAGCAATTACATTCAAGCAGACCTGTCACAATGCCGTACCACAAGGACAATTCCAGTCATGGTTGAGAAAATCTACCTTTTCTTTCTTAATGGAGCCTATCACTCTTCCACTGAAGAAACTGGACCAAATCAGACAAACAGTAAATTATAGCACTTACCCAAATAATATTTTAAAAGGCTCAGCTCTTAACAAATTTAGTGATCGTAATTCTTTTTTAAAAATTATAAAAGCCCTCCTTTCTAGTTTTTAACCCAATCAACACTATCAGGCACAGGTACACCGAAATACAAAGACAATATTCATTTTATGTTAGTGATTTATTCCTTCTTGTTCTTTCATCAAATTGAAAATCTCAGCAAACTGAATGTTGTGTGTGTGTGTGTGTGTGTGTGTGTGTGTGTATATATGTATGTATGTATGTATGTATGTATGTATGTATGTATGTATACACACACAAGAATACCTTCCTTTTTTTCCTATGGTGGGGATCCAAACTAAATTTTTACGGTGAATTTAAAACTACTAAATTATTCCAACTAAATTCAGCAAAAGGTTTCAAAGTTTGAGTGAGGATATTCCCTGGGAAAGAAGAAATTACAGAAAACCTTAAAATGCAATTAATTTGGAAAATCAAGTCTCTATGGAGCTTAGTTAACAAGACTTTTTTTTAAAAAAAAAACTATTAGAAAAATGTATTCCTTCCCAGATTCAGGAAACAAAATTGCTAGAGTCAGAAATAGCTAGAAGCTCGGGGTTTCCAAATTAGCAACTGAACTATGAGGAGGAAAAGCAGCCAAAGAAAAGGACAGCTTTTCTTTCCATCTTTTGTGTTCCCTTCCAGTTTGATGCCACCAGAGAAAAGCAAAACAGGCTCAGAAAACATAACACAATACAGAAATCCCACTGCTTCAGCTTGGTTTACCGAATCAACCCAGCCAACTAAGATGTGCAATTAGCATGCTAAGCTGGGTCCACAAAAACACACTTTTGCCAAGAGCCATGTTGATGGCTTATTATGCAGCCTACAAGGCTCAGAATTGGAAATAAACACATCCATTGAGAGGGGGGGACCTGACACCCTGATCTGGGTTGGGGGGTTTTTTTCTTCTCCCCCACCTCCACAGAATGATGGCCCAGCAGGAGGGAATGCCAGGCCCTCCAGAGGCCCCTGCGAGCCTTTGAATACAAATATATAAAAATATAACGAATGAATGAATGAATGCATGCGTTATATACGTCGTTTTCCAGGCGGCTTCTCTCCTGGGTGTTTAGGAGGAGGAAAAAAAGTGATCCAGAGAAAGCAAAAGGAGATTTAATAGAGAGGGGAGATGATGGGCTTCCTATAGGATAGGGTTGTTTTTTAGGATGGGGGAAGGAGGCAGATCAGATAGGGACCCTTCCTCCTCCTCCCCCCTCCCCAGTTAATCGTTCCTTCGCAAAGGAGGTAATTAATAACCTTAATAAATAATCAAGGCTCCTTTTCGGCCCCACCCGGGGATCGTTTGTCAGATGGAGGAAGGAATCAGGGCGCAAGAAAATAATGAGGAAGAGGAGGAGTAGATGATGAAGATGATGATGATGAAGATAGAAAGATCGAGGTCTCCTGCCGGAGCTGGATGGGAGCCAGAAACCGAAGCGAGGAGACCCCGGAGGAGACCCCCACCCGCTCTTCCCCCCCACATCCACCGCCTGGCCCGCGCGGGGGCTCATGGGAGTTGTAGTCTCCGCGCTGAGGCGATCGTCGTCGCGGTCCCGAAGGGCAGGGCAGGGCAGGGCCGGGCCGGACTTTGGGCGCTGGGCCGCCCCACCGCCACTCACCGCTTTGCTCGCCGAGGAAGACCAGCTTGAATTTCCGCAGCGGGTTGCCGAAATCCCCGCCCGCCGACATGACGACGAGGGTGGCGGTGGTGATACCGCTGCCGAAGGAGGAGGAGGAGGAGCGGGAGGAGAGAAGGAGCCGCCGCCGGGTCTCCCCGGCTGACTCTCAGGGGGGAGGAGGAGGAGAGGAGGAGGACGGGCAGCGCCGCCTCAGGCCTTCGCCTCAGGCGCCTGAGGAGTTAGGCCTTTCCCGTCACGGACCGGGCCCGACGCGCGGAGGAAAGGAGAGGCCGGCGGGAGCTCCTCCGGGCGGGACTGAGGGAAAAGCGGCCCCGGGTCCAGCCTCGGCCACGACACCAGCTCGCCCGCGCCGCTGAGGCAATTACCGGCTCCGCCCGCCGTCCGCCTCTCCTCAGACCAGGCCCCCGCCTCCCAGCCGGACCGGCCCTCCCGACCGCCGGCCGTCCAATCAGGAAAGGGGAGAAAGAGCCGCCCCGCCCCTCCGCCTCGCGAGGATTGGAGGGACGAGGAAAGGGGTGGGGTCGGGCCGGCGCGAGCGCCTGTCGCTGCTCAGCCGCTGGCTCCGACCGCCGGGAGGAGTAGGAGGGTGACGCCAGCAGTAGTAGTACGCAGGCGCCAAAGAGAGGGAGAAAAGAGAGGAGGGCGTGGTTTTGCGAGGCCTTGACGTCGCGTACCTGCGCGGCACACGGACGGCAGGCATTGGTCGAAATGGCCCTCGGGAGGCGGGTTTTGTGAAAAATCGTTATCCGTTCCCATGGTTACTCGCACCTCCTCTCCCTGCTCGGGTCTCGGGGGGGGGGGGCGTCCTTAATGGTAAAGGCTTCTGCAACGTGGCGCCCCCGACTATTATTGCTTATAATACATTTATATGCCGCCCATCTCGCTATAGACTAGGCAGCATCACAGCATCCATCATCCTCACCCTGACACCAAGGGAGATGCAGTCCAAGAGTTCTGAACTGCACTCGGATGATGAAAGTAGACAAATTGGGATATTTATATTATTATTTACTGTATTATATTATTATATTTTATTGTTATATACTATATTATACTAATACTATACTATATTAATACTACACTATATATGAATACTATACTAATACTGTAGAAAGTTAGCACCCACCCCTCTCCTAGAATGAAATATTTTTGAGAAATATTAAAAAGGCAGAGACAGGGTATTATATTTCCCTCGATGAGAAATGGAGAAACATGTTTTTTAGAGGGAGAAAGCAGCCCCCACCTTTCTTAATAGCCCTCAGTGGATGTCAGCACTTAAAGAGATTAAAGAGATAGATGGCTCTATTCATAAGCATAAACTCACCCAAGATCCAACAAAGGTAGGATTAGCCCTCAGCCCCTTCATTTAAACAGCCAAATGTCAGTCCAAACTTCAACCAAACTTAGCTCAGAGAAACTCCTAGCATTTGTACTTTGCCCATAGAGCCAACCAATAGAATACACGTTCTTGCACAAGAACAGGAAGCTCAAGTGCAAAGCTCAAGAGAAGGTATAAAAAAAACCCCTCTCTCCACTCCACGTGTTCAGCTGCACCAGAGAACCATGGGCTTGGTGGTTCTGCTTCATCAATACATGCATGGACTCTCTTTCGTATCAGCCTCCTGTGCCTTTTCTCCTGGCTTAGAATTGGACCTGGATATTTCTTCCAACAGTACTATATTAAATTGCAGTTTGAAATCTGTGAAACGCCTTGAATTGTTGGGCGATTGTGGTTTTCTGATAACATTTATTCTTTTCTCCTATATGCATGTGAGATTTTTGTACCGACACATCAAATGGGAGAACTTTCCCCTGTGCTGTCTCCAATTTGTCGGCAAAGGCCATGTCTCCAAACTGGATTGCGTGAAGTCCATCAATACTGACTCCCTGATTATTAGAACCCAGATAAGGTGGACAAGATACCTGGTCAGTATGGATGATCCCTGTATGCCCAGCCCGGGCTGTTCTATACAAATAGTCCTTGACTTACAGCCCCAATTGAGCCCAACATTTCCATTGCTAAGCAAGACACCGTTAAGTGACATCGTCCCATTTTATGACCTTTCCTGCCGCACTTGTTATGTGAATCATTGGAGTTGTTAAGCAAGTTCTTAAGCAAATCTGGCTTCCCCACTGATTTTGCCTATCGGGAAATTGCAAAAGCTGATCACTTGACCCCAGGACGCTGCAACCGTCATAAATAAGAGCTAGTTGCATCTTAATTTTGATCACGTGGCTGTGGAGATGCTGCAACGGTCATAAGTGTGAAAGCAGGTCATAAGTCACTTACTTCCGTGCCATTGTAATTTTGGTCATTTTAAAAAATGGCTGTAAGTCGGTACCTATATACACACACACAGACACACAAAACAGTTTTATTTAACTGGATCGGCTTCTCAGGCTAGCTAAAGCTATTTTTAATTAGGCATTTCTATCCTACTCCCAAGCACAGTTACTTCACTTCGGTGCAATTAATCCCTAAATGGTTTCTAGCGCTGCATTCTTTTCAGCAACTGGACTGAAATGGTTTAGGTTTAGGGTCTCCCCCTCGAGAAGGGGGTCGGACTGGACTAGACGACCTCCAAAGTCCCTTCCAAACGCTGTTGTTCTGGTGTTGGAGGTCAAGATAACCAGAAAGCTGCTTCGAAATGGCTTCGTCGTCCAAGAAGAAACAGGACCAACCTTGAACGCCCTTGAGAGAAAGGGAGAAAAATCAACAGAGCTTTTAGTTTTTAAATTAATGGCAAGGGGCATCTGTGTCTCTCTTTTTTAAAAAAAAAAAGAATTAGAAAGCGGGCTCGTGAATGCCGGCCTTGCGAGGAGTGTGACGTTGTGATTGTCTTTTCTCTCTGGAACCCCCGGAGAACGGACGGAGAAACGAATGAGGGCTGCCCAACTCCACCTAGGCTCGCCTCCTGCTCCACGATTCCCACGCCTTTCAATCAAGTTTGCTGCAGAGCAAAACCTCCCCGGTGGATTGAGCCCATTAGCAGACTCAGGGGTTGCTAAGCACCTGCCTCTGAGAACATCAAATCACCGCTACCTTGCAGACACACATCGTTATGTGATTTTTATTTTTATTCCTCGCCGCCCCAAGCTCTGGTAAACCAGTGGCGCAGTCTAATTCTATTCGTGACATGGCCAACTTCTTCCGTGTTGTGCTATTCATCCTAATATATTTCACAAGGGGGGCCCCAGCGGAGACCTGCCAATCAAATCTTATGGCATGTAGCACGACGGTTGAAGGCTTGAGATACCAATTCGAGTTCCACCTCGCCGTCATATCTTAGGTACCCCAACCACGCTGGTCTCCCGTTTCCTCATCACTGAGCATCTTCAATCCTCTCGGGATTTCCTTTCTCTGGCCCATAGCGGCAACGAGAGAAAACCGTCGTATTTCAAAGAATTGAATGACGTTTTGATTTTTTTATCAGGTTTTTTTTTTTTTCCCTTCCCCCTTTGGGGGAGAAAAAATAGTGTGGGGATTTGGGGGGGGGGGGTTTCAAAAATTATTCTCATGGTGCCTAGAAAACAACTTGCACCAGAACATCAGCAAGACAAAGGAGATGGTGTTAAGACTTCTGGAAGAAGAGAGAGGAACCTGCTCCACTTCACATCGAGGGGGACTGTGTGGAGTTTTGTTCCTTTAAATTCCTGGGAATCTACCTCAGTGAAGATCTCACCTGGAAAATCCAGGTGGGAAGGCAGGCCCAAAAGAGACTCCATTTTCTTAGGGTCTTGCAAAAGAATAAAGCGGGTCTCCTTTTACCGGTCCACAAAAGAAAGTGTCCTCTCACATTGCATGACCGTGTGGTATGCTAGCTTGACATCCGCGGATCGAAAGACACTACATAGGGTGGCGAGCACAGCACAAAACATTGCGGGCTGTTCCCTGATACCGCTAGATGCTCTCGCCGGGACTCGCTGCCTTAGAAGAGTGAGGAAAATCCTCAGGGACGACTCGCACCCTGGTCAGCACTTCGCTCTCCTACCATCGGGTAGGAGATAGAAAAGCACAGCCAGCTGCAACAAACAGGCTGAGGAAGTTTCCACCCATGGGCTGTCAGACTCCTGAACGGAAAATAACTTCATGTCAACATAGTAGGATAGAGTTGTGGGGCCGGTGCGCTGTGCAATAAGCTCGTATGGTGCAATAAGTGTTAGTAAGGGATTTTTTTTTGTCTTTACTGTGAGTTGGGTTGAGGTGGGGTGCACGAAGGGAGACTCGGCCAATCTCATTGTACACATGTTGTACTCTGACAATAAAGGTTGATTTAGGAAATTAGAAAATAGCTCAAGGCAACAAGCATTATTTAACGCTCCTTTTTCCTATTTTCCACACAACCCTGTGTGTTGGGCTTGAGGGAGGGATTGGCCCCAAGTCGCCCAGCCGGTTTTCATGCCTAAAGTAGGACTGTAACTGACAGACTCCTGGTGATTGACCCAGCCATTTTTCACACCCAAGGGAGGACAACTCGCCATCTCCTGGTGATTGGTTCAAGCTCACACTATTGGCTTCCATGCCTAAGACAGGCCTAGAGCTTCCTGTCTCCTGGTGATCGGCCCAAAGCTTCCATGCCTAAGGTGGAACTAGAATTCACCACCCCCTGGCTTCTATGCTAGCACCTTGACTATTACAACAGATTGGCTCTCCTTATTAAGAGAAATAAAAGTTTCATGCAGCGTGGTTGATTTTTTAGAAAACTTTTCTTTATTGAATGAAGTGCGGAGAATGTTTACATAGCTATACAACTTGTATTTGTGAAAAGTCTGCAATTTTCGATTCCCATCCCAGTCACGTGCTATCCGATCAAGGTCAAGTCTTGCAGTCTCCTGACCACAGCAGGGCCCTAAAACTAAGGTTTAATTAAAAAAAAAAAAGCGTGGGGTTATTATCTGGGAGCTTCTGCATAGAATATCACATAAGATGCCACTGGAAAATTGTCTGCTCTTGATGTATCCTTGCTGTCATTATGATAGAACTCCTGGCAGCTTATAAGAGATTTGGGTATCATCTTGGCAGTATGTAAGCTTTTTGTATTATGTCTTTAAATCTGTTTCCTTGAGTTAATAATAAACCATATTTCTTTATTCACCAGTGTGCTTGTCTCTACATCCAAAGGAACAAATTGCCAGAGCACCTGAACATTGCCCTGATACTTGGCAAAACACTCCCTGTTTAAAACAAATAAAGCTGTACTTTTTGCAGATTGCAAGATTTTTCTAGTCTGCCGATGCTTCTTTTAGGATAATATGGTCCTGTCAGCCCGATCAACTTCAACATTGACACACTGTGTTGCTGAAAGCTTATGGCACTTGCTTCCCAAGGCCTACCTTTTGTGTAAGGTGTGGCTAAGATGCTTGAAATGTATGTAAATACTAAAAACCCTCCTGTCTGTTCGTAACCTTCAACTAAGCAAATAATGCA